TAGATTCTCCCACACTCACCCATTTGACATTAGAACAAGGAAAGCATTATTTATAACAGCATGTGTGAAATCCCAGAAGTGGTTCTTGAAAGAATTCAAGTGAAAAATCAGTCCCAAGGAGACTACAAGCATAAAATAAATGATCAAATGGGAAAACATGTAAATCAAAATTTGAATTTTTTTTTTTAATTTTTTTAAATTTTTGCTCCTTTAAAGGAAACAGGAGCTTTTTTCTTTGGCCACTAGCACTACAGGACAGAAAACCTGGTAGAGTAGGTGCTGCAGTCACGGGAACCCCAGTGAACTTGCCAATGCAAAGTGAGGCGTGTGGGGGAGACACACACGTTGACTCCCCTTAATGTTTCCAGAATGGCTGCTCCCCATTGAGGAAATCAGGTAGTAAAATTACAGAGAAGGAAGCAACACCTTGAAAGTATTTAGTGCATTAAAATTTATAAAGAAGTTTTGCAAATATTGCCTGCATTTACCTCACGACAGCCCTGGAAGGTATTCACTGTTACCTACATTTTATAGTTGGAGAAACTAGGGCTCAGAGAGGTCTGGCAACTAGTGAAGGTTACCCAACTAGGAAATGGCATATGGAAGTGTGCCCTGAAAGTCAGCATTTATAATGTCATGAATTGAGGGTTGTCCACTGCACTGCAGCTGGAATCCACAAGGAATATAGAAAGCATGGTGTCTCACTAGGTTAACACATCCCAGAGTTTTTTTGTTTTGTTTTGTTTTGTTTTGTTTATCCTACCTGGTTCTAGAAGATGTGTGTAAGTGGTTCTTTGTCTCTCTCCCTCTCCCCAAACAAACACATGTTCAAATCAGTGTACCACCGGCGTTCTCTCTGGCCGGTCAGTGCCTGTGTCACACAAGTTGAGTTTAGAATACAGACCCTGATGGTGAGTGTTGTCATCGTCTTCAGGCCTGTCCAGGCAGCTTCATGAGGGGCATCTGTGCTTGTTGAAAAGTACCTACCTGTCACTGTGGGGGTGAGAAGCAAACGAGGAAATCAAAAGCTGATGGGAGGTGACTAGCCTCTACTTAGTGTATAAGCTTTGGGTGTATTCCAAGCTGAACAGTAAAGATGTGGGAGCACCTTAACCCTGAGCCAGAAAGTTATGTTCTTCCTTGTCAGACTGAGAGTCATTGTGCAGAGAAAAATGGAAGACAACAGAAAAACACCCTCCTCCTTTCACATTTGTGCTTTCTTTGATGCTAAGAGCATCATTTGAAATCACCAAGCATATTAGACATCTCTGACCCTCTCAGCTCCTTGGGCTCAGGAGCTGAGTAGCATTTTTCAGGCACTGTTAGTCCATTTTCTTCCTTTAATGAGTCAGAAATGGATATCGAGAATTATAATTGGGCAGAAACTCTATGTGGCGTTAGTCTCAAATCTCAGGAGCTGAGAGCTGTCAGTGAGGTGATTCCTGCTGTTTCTGAGCTCACCTGCTGCCCTGGTGTCAGGCATGGCATTTTGGCTCATAGTGCTGAGGTTTACGAGCATGAAAATTGGGACCTGCCACCCGTAAGGCTACTGTGCAGAAATCAGACAGACCTGATGTGCTACAAACCTGAAAATGGAATTCTTCACTTTTCTCCAGGAAGTAGGAAGCCATAAACAAATCTACTTTGTTAAACAAAGTTCTCTTTGCCTGTGCTAATGCTCTTGCCATCTCATGCCTTAGGCTCCCTGTTTTTACAAAAATGGGCTTTTCAAAACCATAGTTATTTACTTATTTTTGTAAATAAGCTCAGTTGCAGTACCCTGTCATAGAGAAAAGTCTTGAGCTTGGAGTTCAAAACACTGACTTCTTTGTGTCCATAGCAACCGGAACCTCAGCTGCCTCATCTTTAAAATGGGAATAATATTGAGTTGTCGGAAAAGTCATGACGCATTTTTGCAACAAAAAACATAGAAAAAATATGTCATGACTTTTCTGACAACCCAATAATTTCTTCCCTGTCCATCGCTGGGTTGTGGCACAGGTGTTTGAGGAAGCACTGTGCACTCATCCTACCACCTTAACTGGAAGGAAACCCTAGCCTTGCTAAGAAAGTAGAGTCACTCGGTGGGTCATTTTTGGAACAGAGTCCCCTACTTGTTATCCTGGTAAAAGTTATCTTGTTAATTAGAAGGTTTAGTCATCCTCATACCAGAAAATGTGTGTGTGTGTGTGTGTGTGTGTGTGTTTATCCAAATGAACATCCACCCAATAGTTCTGCTCCTATCTAGTTTTGGAGAGAATTGCAAATAATATGGAAAAATGCATTGACCATTCTTTGCCCCCTGTCTGTGGTGCTTGAGGTTATAAAGAAATTGTATTTCCTTAAGGTGTTTCAATTTATTTATTTTTTACATTTATTGGGGTGACAGTGGTTAGTAAAATTACATAAATTTCAAGTGTACAGTTCAGTAATACATCACCTATATATCACATTGTATGTTCACCACCCAGAGTCAGTTCTCCTTCCATCACCATATGTGTTTTTAAACAATTAAAATTAATAAATACAAATCAAGGAAAGGAAAAAAATGTCCCTCACATTTTCCTTCCACACCTTTTCCTCTGATGGTGGGGACTTGGTTTTGGGGTGACTGATGCCTCCTTGTTCACCCCTTTTCTGCCAGGTCGGTGGCCACACGATGCTGCCCATTCGCTGGATGCCTCCAGAGAGCATCATGTATAGAAAATTCACCACAGAAAGTGACGTCTGGAGCCTGGGGGTCGTGTTGTGGGAGATCTTCACATATGGCAAACAGCCCTGGTACCAGCTGTCCAACAATGAGGTGCGCAGTGGGCTGGGTGAGGCCCCCAGGAGGGCTAACACTGAGAGGTGTCCCTTGGCCGGAAGTAAGGACATGATCTTATGTGGCTTTGTTGGGAGCAGCACCTCCCACATGGCCTGCTGTGAACCTAAAGGTCATGGCTAAAGCATAGCTCCAGAGTTAAGAGCTCTAGAGAAAGAAAAGCATAGTGTTTGCTGACAAGCTAGTGATACTCTGGTGATGAGACTGAGGAATCACTGTATGCTGCTCATCTAGTGAATGAATAGCAGATGTGACATTCCAGCACCCTTAGAGTCCAGCTAGGTTGTTTTGTTTTTGTTTTTGTTTTGTTTTCATATTATTCCAATAAGGTTATAGGATTCTTTCCTTTTTGCACATTTTTCTACACTATAACGTTCACTTCTAGTGAAAAACTCAAGCATTTTGTTTTTTCTATTCTAATCCTTTTACAAATATGTCTGTATTTGAGGTATAGCTTCTTGGTCAGGCACCTCACATCTTCCTCAGTCCCAAGTCTGTCTTTTGTCCAACTCCATTATCTAAAGTGACCGCTCATTCCTATAGCCTGGGGTGGGGGGAGAATCTCCCTCATCAGTCAGCACCCTGACACGAAGGTGACTGAGGTTCCATCTCAGGCCAGCAAAACTAAAACACATTGGGATTCTAGAGTGAGGTTGGGATCATTCCTTATAGATATTTCTCCACCAATCTGGTGAAATCAGTGTAGCCTGAAAAATGAGTATAAACCAATACAATTAACCATGATATACCAACCTATAATAATTGCTCTCTTCCTTCTGAGAAACGTAAACTCTGAGTGGCTTTCTTTAAAGCACCCTCTCTTTGGACTGACATTTATTTTCATTGTATTGTTTTTCCTCTTGTCTGATCCTGTCTTTGATCTGCATCCAGGTGATAGAATGCATCACTCAGGGCAGAGTCTTGCAGCGACCTCGAACGTGCCCCCAGGAGGTCTATGAGTTGATGCTGGGGTGCTGGCAACGGGAGCCTCACATGAGGAAGAACATCAAGGGCATCCACACTCTCCTTCAGAACTTGGCCAAGGCTTCTCCGGTCTACCTGGATATTCTAGGCTAGGGCCCTATCCCCCACACCGATCCTTCCCAAAGCACCTCCTCAGATGGGCCAAGAAGATGAACGTCTTTTAACTGCCGCTGGATGCCATCAACCTGCTGTTCTCTACTCTGACAGTATTAACAACAGAGATACTAAGAAGCTTTCAGAGGGAAGCAATGCATACTTCTCCATCCATAGACACAGTACGGACTTCTTTTTGGCATTATCTCTTTCTCTCTTTCCATCTCCCTCGGTTTGTTCCCTAGTTTTTGTTTTCTTTTTTTGTCTTCCCTGCTTCACAGTCCTTACCCTTTCTTTTTTAATCGATTTGGCTTCTGCATTACTATTAACTCTGCATAGACAAAGGCCTTAACAAACCTGATTTGTTATATCAGCAGACACTCCAGTTTGCCCACCACAACTAACAATGCCTTGTTGTATTCCTGCCTTTGATGTGGATGAAAAAAAGGGAAAACAAATATTTGACTTAAACTTTGTCACTTCTGCTGTACAGACATCGAGAGTTTCTATGGATTCACTTCTATTTATTTATTATTATTACTGTTCTTATTGTTTTTGGATGGCTTAAGCCTGTGTATGAAAAAAAAAGAAAACTTGTATTCAATCTGGGAAGCCTTTATCTATGGGAGATTAAAACCAGAGAGAAAGAAGATTTATTATAAACCGCAATATGGGAGGAACAAAGACAACCATTGGGATCAGCTGGCATCAGTCCCTACTTAGGAAAAACCAGCGACTGTTAGCTGGGAGGAATGTATTTGGCTCCTTCCCTTGAGGACCTTTCTGAGGAGTAAAAAGACTGTTGCACTCTGTGCCGTGGACTATTCTTTTTCCATCACCAGAAACACTAGGGCATAGTGGAGAGAAAAGACGGCTTCCGTGAGACACAAGATGGCGCATCACACACTCAGACACTCTTGTTTATGTAGGTCATGGCGATACCACTGGTTTGTTTTTCCAAGTGTTATCCACTGAGCCTTTGTCAAGTTCAGTCGAAAAGAGGTGGATTCTTGTCTAGAGATCATTTCAGGGTTGGGTAGGAAAGCCAAGGACTTGGAAAAGATAGAACAAGCTATACATTCGGAGGCAAGTTTCTCTTATATTGAACTTTTCAGATAGCACTTCCCTCCAATCCCGACCCACTACCCCCACCCATCCTTTTAACTGTGCAAGCAAAATTGTGCATGGTCTTCATCGATTAATACCCTGTGTGCAGAAACTACTGCTCCAGACATTGTGTCCCGGATATGTAGAGCAGATTCATAAAAGGTATAACTTATATAACTAGGGGAAGCTAATGGAGTTCATTAGCTGAATATAAATGTCTCTGGGCTGTACAGTGGTGATGGGTTTTAACAAATATGGACCCTGAAGCCTGGATGTCCTCATACACATGAAACCCACTGTGAGACTATGGGACTGTGGGAAGGGCAAAGTCAATGTCCAAGGGAAAGGAAGCCTCATCCTTGGGGACATCATATGCATTGATGTTCAGTGTGCACAGGCCAAGTCCTTGCTCTGGGCTCTGGTTGGGAGAGTGGTTTCATTCCAACTGTCAGTATGCTGTTTTGTTTTCGTCACTCCATTAAAAGAAGTAAAAAATTAGGCACCACATCCCAATGGGAGGCTATGCCCAGACCAAGCTTTGGAGGTATACTTCTGGGCACAGTCACAGGTTTTGTGAAAAAAGGTTGTAAATTTAAATAGAAATTTACAGTTATTTGGGTGATCAGTTACACCAAGGAAGAAAAATATTTCTGTTCCTGAAGAAAACTTGCTACCCTCTGTGAGGGGAATTTTCCTAACTTGACATCTTTATAACATGAGCCAGCTTGAAAGGGAGTGATTTTAATTCATTTAAGTCATTTTATTTCATATTTGTTTCTGAAGGTGCAATTGCTCTGTTTAGGTTTTGCTTGCGCTCTTAATTACTGGAACACCTTATTTTCCATTATAAGGTTTGAAAGCCAGTTCTCAAAACAAACAAACAAAAAAGTGTCAGTTGGCAGAGAACAAATGGAAATCCAGTAGCATCTACAGTCAAGTGAAGGGAGTTGGACAAGACAAACCTCACAGTCCCTTCAAGTTCTGCGCTGCTATATGAGACATGGGAGTTGAGTTGTTTGTTCTCTTTGTCAGTGAAAAAAAAAACCCCTCCAGAATACACATAATAATATAATGTAATGAAAGCCATATCTCCATGATATATACCTGCACGTATATATCCTATTAAGGACCCATGGTACTGTTAAAACACTGTGGCACATGTGAAGCAGTAAAAAGAGGCAGATTTGTACAAAACTTTTCTAGAGTCCATCAGTGATAACCTGAAAACTTATGTAGGTTTGTCATTCTGCGTGACTGGCGAGCTGCTCTAGGGGAAGAAGCTGCAACTTATCTGTTTTATTTGAACAGAGAGCAAAGGAGAGGCACTCCTCTAAGGGATCCAGTTCAAGGAGGGCTGTGCAGTTTTAGAGCAAGGATTTGGTTAAGGCAAACAAGAAGGTGGGAGCATTCCATTCCAGGGCTGCGTTTTCCTCTGGAAAAAAAGAAAAAAAGCAAAAACAAACAAACAAACAAAAAAACACCTCTCCTTACCTTTTGACAAGTCCCTCAAGGTCTTGAAATGAAAGGTTCTATGCAAGTGCAAAGCTTTATAGTTATTTATGTTGCTGATTATTATTTTATTTTCCTCTGTTGTCTCAAGAGTATGTACTGATTTCAGAGACGTCTTACATTGAAAGGATATCAGATTGCTTCTAAAGTAGCTGAATGAACCACAGAATATCTTCAAATATCCCATACTGGTCCTCCACAATCCCCTCTTCTCATGCTCTTCATTTTTAGAAAAGGAACAACCTCATTCTAAAATGTGACGATCACAGAATATAGCCTGCCATCAAATTTGTTAAGAATTAAAAGTGGTAGTGACAAACCTAATTCTTTAGCCCAAACTCTGACAATCTTCTCTGTTTATAAATTCCTTAATAGTTTTCCAAACAGTTTTCACATATGTTAGCAAAATATTCCCATTTTTTATAGGTGAGAAAATTGAGACTCGGAGAAGTTAAATGGCATGCTAGCTTCTGGCACCAATGCAACTTAATCAAAATGTTCTGACTCTGAAGTTCATGATTCTGTTCACTAGAGACTCCAATCCAGAAAAGAAAGCGTGCTCACAAATGCATAAAGCAGAATGTGATATTAGAAGAACAAAATGAAACTCATGAGATTGACAAGCAGCTGAGATATCGTAATATATAATCATGCTCCTAGCTTCAGCTAAATCCTTGTACACTGAACCAATGTCATAATCAGGCTTATTTAGACAACATTTTGAACTATCCTATAAAGGATTATATCAGAATTCATATTATACATATGTGTTCACATCAGCGCTACCTGTGGTATGTTCATGTATTTATGTGTTATAAATACTTGATTTATACATATGCAAACACACATAATAGCGTGTTTGTGTACTTATGTATAAATTTATAGGCACACAATAATAGAGATAATTATAAGTAGGGTGCAGTATGAATAATTTGCTTAAAATCTGCTAAATAACCAAAACTTTTTAATGTCATGTTGCTGTTAGTGCTTCCATTCTCCATGTGGGCAGGACTACACTGCACTTTTCAACTGTGTGCAGTACTGCATGGGTGGAAGACATATTTAAGATAATGTGCTTCCCAAAACAACTGACTCAAAGCCATCCCGCTACACTGAGTCCTTTCTCTGGCTCCTTGCAAGGGAAAATGTAGACTGAAATAGACCTCCTTATGTAAAGGTCCAGGAAAGGAACATGGATTTTATTTTTCATCGTTTTGTATTATGCTCACCTTGTCCCACTATGACCTCTTTACACTTGTGTTCAGAGTCCAAACATTCCAGAAGAAAACTGGAATGTTGGGAGCCCAGTGTCTCAAAGGCCAATGGGGAGAAATCCAAGACCCCACAGCAAGGCAAGTGACTCAGGAATTTCCACATCCAAGTGGGAATGCAGGCAACAACAGTGTACAAGGCTGTCCTTACCAGGGAGCCATGATGGAAGGACCCCCTGGTCAGGGATAGACTTTTCTTTTTAACTCATCCTTTTGCAAATTGGACCGTTTGTAAAGCCAATAGCATTAAATTATATATCTAATTAGATAAAGATTACATACACACACATCCTCAATTCACACACATCCTCAATTCTCTTGCTCTTTCTCTCTCTATATATATATATATCTTCTTTTTTCTCCCAATGGAGGACTTTTATTTCCAATGTTGAGTTTTGGTTTGGCTCTCTATCACTGTTACAGAAAATCTTATGAGGGGGATGGCCAGTGATCCAACTCCTCTGATGGCTAAATGAGCAGTTAAAGCAATTTCTTTATGATGCATCATTGTGGAATGCAGAGACTCCGAGGTTGTGATAGCAAATGTTATTCTAAAACATTAGGGGTGGGAGGGATTTTTAGTTAAATAAGACAGCACACAAAGGGGTATTTTCTTATTGTCAAGGCTGGAATGAATCACTGCTTCTCATGTCAAAGGTCCTTGAATATCTTTAAGTTTTGAATATTTTCCCTTTCTTTTCCTTTTACCTTTACTTATGTATGTATGTATGTACTTATTTATTTATTTATTTACTTACTTATTTATATATTTTGCTCCATTTATCACAAACACAAAGCAAAGCAAAAAAGTATATATTATATATATGTATATGTGTTGCAGGCAAAACACTGTGAATTTCACAACAGCAACCAAGCAACTATTTTGCCATCTTACCATACGTCTCAGGAGACGAAATGGGAAAACATAGGATGTCATTTTTTTAGTCTATGCATTCTAAGCCAGGTCCGTGTTTGTTTTATTTCTTTGGTCTGTGAATTAATAAACCTGATTTTGCATGAAGGTTAGCTGAATGTTCAACATACTGGAGCAGGCATAATAAAAGCTGCTAATAGTCACATGTTTAAACTCGAAAAAAAAAATTGGAGAAAATGAAGTGGAACCTAAAGGCCTACATCTTGCAGCTTGTATATCTTACTATTGCTTTAAAAATGTATAAAACCAGCTGGAAAAGTTTTAAATACAAGGTCTTTGAATTAAATGTGGGTTTTAAATATGTAATCTCTTGACAAATGACCAAATTATGGTGAAATATTGCTCCCTGCCTTCATTGATCATTACCTGTCACTTACAAATCTGCCTAGAAATGTGGACACTCTGCATTTGTTTCTGTACATGGAGAGATGTTTGTATATATCCGGGCCATACACACACACACACACACACACACACACACACACAC